TTTTTTTTAACTAGTACAACACCATGTATTATACAGGTACTTGCTAATTTTACTTGCTAATTTAGTATGACATTTTTTATTTGTGCAACTTACATGTGTTATATTAGTCACTTAGTGTCTCACTATGTAAAATTACAAAGAAATAAAGGTTTACATTAGTACAATTGATATTAAAATATCTAAGTTAGCTAAAATAATTTTTAAAATGTCCAAGCCTAAATTATTAATTATTAATATATGAATATTATTTTTCCAAACCTAATTACAAAGCATGATTCTTTGCCAAGTAGGATTCCGAAGCACCAGAACCAGGCACGTAGGCTCAACGTATTCGGGAATAATATATAGGGAGGATTGCGCAATTAAATACGCCCAATACTTAGAGCATATCTTCAATGGTCTTTCTATTTCTCTATTTTGTTGCCACATGACACAAATAATCTTATGTGACTTGAAAAAATTCTAGAAGGCTTTCTGGATGTAAAAGTCTTTGTAGACAACTTCTATTGTATATTAGAGTATTTGTTTAATTTATTTATCTTCTTCAACCAATTAAAATCTTACACATCACAAATAATAGCACAATTAACATTAACCATTGAAGACATAATTTTTTTGTTTTCATTCTCCATGCCATACAACACAAAATGAACAATTTTCCATTAGAGATGATCTTAGGCCCAAGCCTCTATCGATTGGATTTGTCTATCAAAATTAATAAATCAATCACAGATTTAATAAGCCGAATCTACGTCTCAACTAGATGGGCTAGGATAATGAAATAGACAATTTGTACAAAAACTTTTAGTTTCAAGTCTTTACAAGCTCGAGTTCAGCTTGTTTCACTTTACACTCACAAATTTAATTTTATTTTTTTTGTTAGAAAAATATATATTTGCAACCCCATTTATTAAAACTTTTATTTAATTATTGAAATATTTCATCTATGTGCAATTTACCAAATTTTCTTATGTGTTAAAAGTGTTTGTTATTGATAATGCGGAGTTTTTATATAGTAATCATGTAATATTCCGGGACAAGAATAATTGACGGACTTATGTTATTTTTTTTTTTTTTTGGTACAGGGACCTTTCGGTTTCCGGATCCACATGAGAACCGTCTAATCCGAAATCGAGCCGGGTAGGTTAATTTTAACATTTCATATTGTCATTTTGTATACAATTGTAAGTATAACAATATGCTTCTTAATAACGTAGTACAATTCCGACATATTGTACATATATATTTAAGTAATGTAACAAACCTGACTGACAAACAGTTGGACTTGGATCGTTCTAGTTAGTTACAATATATATCATGTCTCAAGTTGGGCGGAACCAAAAATAAAAATGTACAAGGAAGCTGCTATGCTTTTATTGGGCCTAAGCTAGAAACTTTTTCAGCCCAAGTCATAGCACCACAAGCAAGCTCAGTAATCTACAAATCACAAGTTGCGGCTCAAGTGGTCCAATAAGCCATTCCCAATGGCCCAACCTCGACTCTTTATCGCCAACTATTTTGACAACATGTTTTTCTTTTTTATGGATGGATATAGACCGAAATAAAAGAAAAAAACAATTCCTTTTGGGAAAGACTTCACCATTTCCATTATTTAAGCATGTCAACAAGCATCAAAATTAATTATCACTAGTTCACAAATTTTTTCAGACATTAAAACAATATTAAATTGGGGAGTTGTATGTGGTAATTTTTAAAACGATATTAAAGTGTGGAGTTGTATGTGATTTTTTTTTTTTTTTCTAAGTTTGCCTTTTACACTAAATTGTTATTTGAAGATTTACTCGTGTGTTTGGTATGCATAATAAACTTGTTTATAATATATGTAAAAACTTATACTCAAATGAGTTTCATTGATTTGGTATATATATATATATAGAAGAAGCTTGTTTAAAAGCTCGAGCTTATTTAACATGCATGTTGCTAATTATAAACAAGTTTCAAGTGGGCTCATCACTTCTATTCCTCTTTCAATTATTTGTTTCCTCATCCAAAAATACATCTAACTCAATTTGTTAATTATGATACACTAGTATTAGAATCAAGAGAAGAGAGTGCGATCCCACCAAATGACTCAATTTGTTGATTATGAACCACATCGGATAAACAGATGATCCCACCCATCGACTTTTAAGTTTGATCTATCTACCCGTTAAAAGTAACATATCAATCAATATAATGTCACCTCCATTATTTATTGAATCTTTTTAAGCTTTCAAACTAAGAGCATGTATGTATGTATGTATGTATGTATGTATGTATGTATGTATGTATGTATGTATGTATGTATGTATGTATATTTTCAAATTGCCAACATATATCCATCATTTATATGGATAAGTTGAGACCAATTTTCCACATATTGTACATATATTTATCAAGAGTAGGGACAAATTACAATAATTGCATGTCTCTTTGGTTGCCAAATATTAATAATTGCATCCTACCCTATATTATGAAAGGTACATACATACATATATAAAATATCTCCACACATTTTTATTAAATTATTTGTTATTGTTTCTCTTTTTCAATTGTAGAAAAATTAGCGTGTGATGGAGCCAAAAGATAAACTGCAAGCCAAAGCATGGTGAAAGGGTAAAAATATAGAAAAAGTGGGGGCCAAAACTCAATAATTAGCAAGTAGATTGTAATCGAAGGTTTTATCACATTAACTTTGGATTAAGAGTTGAATTCGGCGCATGCAAATTAATTATGACTACCCAATTAATGGATTTTATATACTATATGTTTATAAGTACTACTAGTGTAGTTACAATTAAGTTAAGCCAGCCCAAAATTAATTCATTAATTAATTATAAGCTACCATTGCTAATTGCACGAAAAATTAATTAATTAAGATCATGTACTTACAATCGCAATTAGTACTATCAAATGCCCAAGTGGTTTGCATCAAATCAAATGGTACCCATTAAATATTATTAATGCATAATATGGTTAGAAGACATTAATTTGTAATTAAATCCCGTTATTACTAGTATTGATTTGACATATATATTAATCTGTGAATTACGTAAATCCAAATCCCTAGTTATTATTAATTCCAATCTATATATATATAAAAAGAATTACCATTTACTAAAAATAGTAGCAAAAAAATAGGAAATATTTAATGCATACTATTTTTAAAAAAATTTTAAATATATGCATTAATTGTTTCTATTTACACATTTTTAAATAAGATCAAATAACATATAATAAAATAATTACTTAAATAAATTTATTAATATATGCAGTATTTTCATTGATGTTTATTATAATAAATTACAAGATTGATTTTCGTGATTTATGTTGATAATATTTTGGTCAAGATAAATATTATTTTATTAATATTTGTGATACTTTCATTGATATTCATTATAATAAATTACCTGATTAATTTATGTAATCCATTGATAATATTTTGGTCAAGATAATATTACACCATATTTTAAGTTCTAACCATAATATAGTTTTTTTTTTTCACAAATATCACTTTTTATCCAAAAATATTTATGGAAAATCTTAACAGGTTAGGTAGATTTTTTTTTCCAAGTAATCAGACAAAATCAAGTTGGTGAATTAATCTTTGCCAATATATTTGCTTCTTAAGCTTTATTTTGTTAAATATAAAAAGTAAATCGTTCTTCAAATTAATATAATTTACCATTTAAGAGATAATGACCAGATACAATAAATAGTTTTATTAATGATAAAAATTAAAATTGAAACATATTAACTATTGTAATTTATTTGTATATTATTGGCACCCATGATTATATTTTTTTATTTTGATTTATTTCTATA